GTTTTCCCATGCGGTCCGTGACCCCCTTGATGTAGGGCAGAAATACTTTGTTGGTGGGGGGCTGTTTTTCTTTAGTCGTGTGGTGTTTTCTTGGTTTGGTGGGTTTTATTTCGTTCTTGGGGTAGCCATTCGCTTGTAGGACCCAATTAAGGTAGTTAAGTTCAGTGTTTAGATATTGGGCTTCGCAGATCCGATTGGCACAATCCATCAGGGTTTTGATAATGCCTCTTTTCTGACGTGGGTGGTGGTTGGAGTTTTTGCTTCTTTTCCTGGCAGCAGCGAGCCCACCACCTTTTCTTCCCCTTTACCAGAAAGCTTCATTTTGCTGATCCCTATGGAGCTGTCAGCCTTTCATATTATTCTGGGGAGATAGAACTGACTCAGTAGTTAGAGCTCCTCTTCCCTCTCCAAACTGACGGGTCAGCTCCAGTGATGTGGACCAACTCCTGGCTCATCCCCTTTCTTGCCATGCATCTCCAAGCACTGGAATTCTTTTTTTCCTCCTCCTCGCTGTCTCTGTTCCTGAAAAAACTCCTGTGCCCTGTCCTCCTGGTTTTTTGTCAGCTTCTTTTGCTGGCATTCATGGTTTACCTTTCCTGAAAAACCTTAAAAAAGAAAGGACGGCTTCCCTTTCACCTTCTGCTCCAAAAAGGACCTACATCTGCCCTTGCCACGGGAGGACTTAGTGTGCTCCTCAGGTGAACGACAGACCCTCCCTCTCTGGAGCACACTGGGCCAGTGCCTTCCTTTTGGACAAAGAGACATAACCTGCCTCTATGCTGAACCATGAGGTGTGCTTTGACCAATCCTTCTCTAGCTATTTTCCCCCAAAAAAGTCATCCTACTCCCCACTGCTTTTTATCATTGAACCTGCAGACACTACTGACTTCAGTGTATTTCACAGATGCCGAATTATCACATTCACTTCCTGGCTGACACTAGAAGAAGGGTTAAAATATTAAATATTAAAATAGGCGAGAAAAAGGCATGGAGCTTTGTTACAGGCATTTCAGATCTGCAAAAGAACCCAACTCAAAATATCCTAACTCTGAAAAGTCTGTTTCAAGTGTCCTGAGCTAATAAGTATATATTTTAGATTTTGTTCCATATCGCTTTGGAATGTTTTGATATCACACAGGAAAAAAAAAATCCCCCAGCCATCTGTGAAGACTTGGAGAGTACATCAACAACAGTAATCTTAAATTCCTCCTGCCGCTGGCTTCAGTTGGATAAGCAGAAGAGAGGGGAATTACAGGGGAGCCATCAGTTAAACACATCAGAATTTGAGAACTGTTTTGGACATAAGATAGTTACCTGCCTGGAAAGCAAGTTTTAAAATTTGCTATTATGGAAGAGCTGATTGAGTATAACATAATAATGTCTCTGTATGTTTCTCATGTGCAAACTGTCAAATGCAAACATGTTCATTGTGTATATACATTATAGACACAAGGTTTCAATGTTGCCACATGCAAAAATAATGGTGTTTATTTTGTTGAGCTTTGCACAGGCAGGTTGGTACTATGTACTGTTGTTACAATACTGATGGGCTGTGTTGAAATTAATCCTCCTAATTCTGTCCTCTCTTTGGTGGGGTCAGTCTGGTGGCTATTTGAGCTACTTGCTGTCTACATAACCTACCATGGGATTTTTAAAACACTTAAAATTGTTTTATAATCACCCTTTGCCCAATTTTTCTGTAAGTTTGCTGGTCAATAGCACTCAGCATGGACTTCCACACAGTTTTGTGATCATAAGACAAAAGACAAGGAAGCAAAAGAAAATGTTTCAAATTTCCCTTTGTAAGGACCTTAGGAGGAAGGTGGTTTCTTGAGCTCAGGCCAGGGCTTTGTCTCCTTTTGTGGAGAACCCAGAAATTCAACAGTCTTGGGCAGGAGTTAGAAATGTAACCTGAATTGGTTAGAGGAAAATGCAGGAAACGTCATTGGTTTATATACTGAGAATTCTTCACTGTCAGCAGAGCTGATCAGTTGTCTTAACTGGCCACTCGCCTGCTTGTAATAAAACATATTCGTTAATCAAAGCATGTGACTCCCTGAGAAGGCAGGAGCAACTGAGCTCCTGAGCTGGTGAGCCCAATCCCCATGTTCTCTATGGCAGAGAACTTAGAAAAACAGGTCAGAGGTTTTTTCCCCTGGGACAATCCCCATCCAATGGAATAGAGGTGCTTTGTTCTGAGTTTGGAGCAAAACATTTTGGGTTTGGGTTTGTGCACTTCCTTGACATTGTGATTGTCATCGACTTCTCCAATAAAATTGGATGCGAACAAAACTGCTCTCCAGAGGAAAGGAATGGAACTCACAGCTCCCTTTCTTTCTGGCTGCTGAAAGCCCAGAGAGGCAGAGCTTTCTTGCCTGCAAATGAGGCCGACACAGGAGGGTTTACGGGTACATGGTGAGTTCTTAAACTCAGATCTGCATGATCACAGACAAACAAGTGGAGCCTGCTCCTGCCATGCTATTACCTTATAAAACCACATGACTTTTCTGATTGCTCCTACTTCTTCCGTACATATAACACCGTGTGGATTGGTTCTGTGCTCCGTTTTTAAAGAGAGCACATGCTGTGCTGCACTCATTGCACAGTGCCCACAGAGCACCAATTCCCTCTCCTTTGCTATGGTGGCTCTGACAGACAAAAAGGTAGCCCACTGCAGATCCTGCTAAATCCTTTGTTACCCTTGGCAGGCAGAGACTCTCTCACTTCACCTACAGTGCTCAAACGGCAGCAGAGAGGTGATCACTCAAACCTAATCCTTACCCTGATGTGTTGATTGCGACAGTCCCTTAATAGTGGGTTGGGTAGGCTACTGCTGTGCTTTCTCCAGTTGTTGTAAATATTCAGGACAACCTCAGGCAAGCCTGGTGGCCACTTGACCAGGAACTTCTGGCTGATCACTTTCAGGTATCTCATCATCAGTTCAAGGATGCCTCCATTGTTCAAATTAGCCAACAGGAATTTATGAACATCCTGCTTTTCTGGAAGAAAAATCACCATACTGTGGGTGTATGTCTGATTTTTATGGAATGAATGAATCAATTGATTAAGCCAATGTTTAAGAAAACCAAACTGTAACAAAACTGGAGTGCAGTTCTTTACAGGGATTCGATCTACAGAAAAAGACAAGCCAGAAAAAAATCCTACCAGATTCCATACAGACTGTCAGGTCAAGTGACATTCTGTGTGAGCCGACATGCTGGAAGTTCTCTTCTTTTGCTGTGGTTTGGATCTCGTAGTGGTTGAATGGACCCTCTCCTTCTTCTGGATCAAGCTTCCTTAGGCTAAAAGCAAATCAGAAAAGCATTAAAGAAAACAAGCCAATGAACCTGAATGCCAGGGTAATATTAGCCAGACAACCTGATCCACTACTGCGTGGTTACCTCCCTCCCTTCTAACACATTCTCAACATGAAACGCCCTTCCTCAGCCTCATAGCTTTAGAGCACCCCTGCTATTTTTCCAGAACCAGCACACACTTAGTAATGGGGATGCGCACCGTGAAGGAAGGAATTTTACTAGCAGCTCCTGGAAATCAACTTTTTCCTCTTTTTTGCACTTGGTATTCCTGACTCGAGCTGATCTCCTCTTTGCCGTCTCACCACTCTCTTCTGTGATTTTCTTCCGTTTCAATCCTTTCTTGGATTTGTCACCCACAGAAGCATCACCTGAGAAGAGCCAAAGACTTTTGGATTAACAAATGGCCTCTTTATCAAGACATTTCCTGACTTTTTTATTTACAGAATCACCTTTTCTGTGTCAAGTGTGCCTCTTGTTCCCAAACTCAAGGGTGACCAGAGGTAGTCCCCCTAAGGCCATGCTGCCTCATCTCTGCCCCACGCCCCTAATCTGGGCCCCCTTCTGAAAAACCTCATGCAGAGAAGGAGGCAGCATTTGGAACCGTAGAGTTCAACGGGACTGTTTAGGTCTTCAACCATCTGCTCAAGGCAGGAATCCTTGACAAATGGCTGTCTGGCCTCCACCTGAACAGTACCTATGAAGGGGAGCCCATCAGCCAAACCACTCTTATGATTACCTGACACCTACCTTCCTGTAACTGAAATTCCGTATCAATGTCCTGTACTCCTAAATGACAGAGAAGAGCTCTTGAACTTTTTCTATACAGCATCCGTTTGGGTACTTGGTTATCTTTTCTCAAAGTTAAATATATGCAGCAAGTTCAATCTCGCATCATAGAACTTGGTTTCTAGTACCCTGATCATCCTCACTGCTCTTCTCTGAAAGTGCTCCAGTGTTTCTGACTCTATCCTAAAATGTGGTGAGATGTAACCAAAGCAGACCATGGTGGAATTATTACTTCCAGTGATTTGGAGATCATATTTCTGTTGATGCAGCTCACGGTTGCATTGGCCTTTTCTGCAGCCACTTCACACTGCTGACTCACATCCAGCTTGCAATCAACTACTATTCCAAGATCTTCCTCACAAGTACTATTGGTATTCAACACATTACACGTGTGCATTTTTTGTTCCCTAAGTGAACATTTTGCATATATCTCTTTTACATTTCATTTCTTTCTTTCAGCCCACTTTCTCTAACTTAGGAAGATCACTTTGACTTCTGTCTTCTAGGGGAGTAACTATTCCACCCAATTTTGGGTCATGGCAAATTTGACAAACATTTCCTCTGCCTCTTCATCAAAGTAATTAAAATACTGAAGAGATCTGAACCTTGTGACACAGTTTGGCATTTCACTCCAGTTTGATAGAGATCAATGGATGTTTGAGTATAATTTTTTAGCCAGCTATGTATTTACTTAACTGTCATGCTACCCTACCCATATTTAACTAGACTGGATACTTCATCGAATGCATTAGGTAAGACATGTTGCAACTGCATGCAAAAATTTAGGTACTCCTGGCCAACTATAAGAAACAGGGGACCACCTAGTCAGCCGCTGCAAGAAGATCGCACAGACTGACTGCAGACAACGGCATGACAAAGTAGCAACAATGGTGCATTGGAATATCTCCAAGAAATACCGTCTGCCTGCAAGCAAGAACTGGGGGGATCACAAAACAAAGTAATAGAAAATGAAGGAGCTAAAGTGCTCTGGGACTTTAGAATTCAAACAGACAAGCACCTGCCACATAAAACCCCAGACTGGTTTACTTGCAAGCTCTTTCTGCTACTACAACTTACATAAACTTGTTATGAATATGCTCAGTGTTTCCAAGCAGCGGTCCAGACTTTTTTCTTCTACAGCTTATTCAATGAAGGACAGACTGTTCAGCAGGAGAAAGAACTTCCCATTCATGTGATACCTATTACAAACATCTTCCTCACCTGCAGGATTTACTGATTCCAACACAGTCATACTGGGGAAGCTGGGTGTCAGTGGTGTATATGTGAGCAGCGGTTCAGTCAAAGGCACCAGTGGGCTAGAGCTGACAGGACTGGGATGAAGAACACTGACGGGAGCTGAATTTGTATGGCTATCCAAGTGCTGGTCCAGATCTTGGTATTCCAAGAGATCAATTCTTTTGCCCAAGCTGGGATGAGGTGGCTCACAAGTTGTGAGATGCAGGTACGTGGCGATTAAACTTTCGCCCAAAGATTTCCACCTGCATGAAAAAACAGGGTCACAAAGACATTCTCACCTTTTATACCATGTATGATAAAGCACTGCTCACCTTAGAACTGCTATACGCAATAATAAAGTAAAAGCAGTTTTCTTTGTTAATCCAAAATTCTTGGCTTGACTAACAATAAATACTCCTTTATTAGTTAAGTACCCAGGAAGAACTTTTGCCTGATATTTTTTAATTTTTTTACTTGATAACTGCAACAACAGTGTGACAGACTCCATTAATAATCTTCTGGTAGCAGCTAAAATCCTGCAAAAGACAATTACAACTGGCTAAAAGGGAAAATTGTTTGGCTGTCCTATTTGGTAATCTTAGGGTATGCATGCACACATATTGATGTGCCTGAGTGCACATGCACATTCCTGTGTGTATAAGGCACATTTTTTTAATGTGGGTTCTGTTTGTACTTTCTGTTATTTTAACTCGTTCACTCTTTTCTTACACACACTTCCTAACCTTCCATTCAGGCATGGTTGTGCATGCTCTCTTGCCAAATTGCTTTGTTTCTGTTAACCTGAGTTTGTGACTGCAATAAAGCTACCGCATCCTCTCTCAGCTGGGCTGCCTGATGGTGCATCTGGCTAAGGGTGGAAACCCCTTAAGATGCAAGGCATCCAAGGAGGGATTGGCCAACCAAGTGGCCGAGCATTCTTTCTGGGCTTAACTGAGGCATCCATTGCCACTGCCATCTCTTCCGAAGAAACGTCGTGGAGAAAAGGAGGACTATCGGCTGAGTTGCTGAAGTTCAGCTGGGGCTTCAAAGCTTCTATGGAGGGTAGAGTCAGCTCCCTTATTACGCAGCTCCTCAGGAATGACCTCCCTCCCCTTTTGCTAGGATGACTGCCAAGGAAGGGACAGCAGACAGAAGAGGCACTCCAAAACTTTCCCATCCAGGTGGATAAGGCTTGGCTTTAACCCTCTTAGGTTCTCATCTTCTCTGAAAGAAGACTGGGAAGGACCCAGCAAAGAGGTCCCTGCCTGTGTGCTTTGGCAGGAGACATTATCTGCACAATACCTTTCAAAAGACTCCAGAGAAAAAGTGCACGGCTCACCCACAAAGCAATACTTTTGGGAAATGTAATTCAACCTGGCTTTTTATCAAAACCTTGTATTCAGCTGATACTGAGCTGAAACATACGTGAACAGAGAAATGGGCTGGGCAAGCTTGAGATCTGGCTCCGTCTTCCGTGCCATCAGAGCCTGCCTCTTCCTGCGCAGCTCCAGGGCTTCTTCAAGGATTGCTTGTGTTTCGGATGCGCTCACAGGGACATCACACACTGACAGGTCACTGAAAAGGAATCAGAGTTATTTCAAACAGCAAGCTTGTAAATAACTTAATTTCGCTGTTATTCAAGCATCAACAAATCCTAATGGTATTAGATTAGGGGCCTGTACAGACGGAGCCACTTTAGGTGACAAACAGTTTACGGACGCAGATGCAGCAACTGCATCACAATCTCCATCTGGAGACTGGTACTGAGCAGCGGCCAACGCACCGGTGACTTCTGTCACTGCCTGCTGCCCTCGTACCAGGGTGAGCAACCCCTCGCTGCTGTTATACTTAACAAAAGCTGAACTGCTTGAGACAAACATTTATCCGGATGCTCTGCACTGCTTCCAAGGTCCAGGGAAAGGAAGCCCACGAGAAGAGTTCTCGAGCATACTCTGTTCACATGCATAACCTCGTGCTGTTGGCATAAGGAAGCATCACAGGCCCTAAAAGGAGGCCACAGCACAAGTTGCGGATGGGGCTTGCATTGGGTTTGCTGTCTACTTAGGGCATGCAGGGAGAGCATACGAATTCAGGGATGTCATTCTTCCATGAAGTGGCTTGTGCAAAAAACTCTTAACAGCCCCTCTCTGCTGCTCTGGCCAATAGAAAGAAAGACAGAAGTCAATCCTTCCACGTCGCAAGTTCTCCAGAGAGAAGAGGATTTATTCCTTTCTGGCTGGAATTTGTAGAAGACAAGAGCAAAACACCGCAGAAGCCCAACTTACTGGATCATGGAAGATGCCTGAATGATTTTAATTTTATTATTAATTGGATTATCTTGAAATAAAATACAGCAAAAATGGATTGGATGGGACACATATAAATGGATTAGAGATACATAATTAAACATAAATCAACTCTATTGGCTTCTAAAGTCGATGTAAGTTGATTTATTTACTTACCAAATATTTTCTCTAATATCAAATTTCTGAAGCAACCACTAGCCTTTTTTACCTGGTACATGATTTATTTGCAAATTTGGACCTAATCTATTACTGAATTCAGGCAGGATAAAAATGGCAACAAATTTAAACTTCTGCAGAATAGAAACCACCAGACACCTACCTGCAAGGTTATAGAAAGCTTTTACAAACAACACCCCACCCCCAATCAAGCTATTTGCCAATTCCAGTATGGTAAGTTGTGAGGAGCTTCAGGATCAAAGACCAAATGTGACAAATAAGAAAGTAATTTACCCTTTAAGGAACATCCTTAAGGAGTCCTTTCTGAGGCATGGCTGCTCCTCAAAGATCTTCTCCTTAATAACAAGTCCTTTGCTGTAACAGTTATCTCTCTCCAGCGCTTTGCAAATAAAATATAAGCACGCTAAGGGCATCAACAAAGAAGGAAGACATCTGTTAATGCATTCCAGACTCCTTTGGACTAGCTCTTCACAGAACCTACAAAATAAACTTACCCATATCGTTGAGACCCATGCATAGTAACCATTCTCACAGATATTTTTTCATTGCCATAGATCAAACAAGGTATGTATGATTTATATTAAACATGTTAGGCAAAACGTTAAAAATTGATTGTTTTTAATGTTATCTGCTTTATAAATATTGCAAAGGGCTTCAATATTCAAATAAGAACTGATTAATCTGCATGAGGCTGAGAATAGGCTGTTGCCAGAGGAAGCAGCATTTAATATGGCAAAGAACATTAGTCAGCCAAAATTATATTGCCTCCAAGAAACTATCACCACAAATGTGTTCTACAAATGGGAAGAAGGAAGGATTTGCTCTCTTAAACCTTGGCCTTCAAGTGGGCACTGAAAATGTCTTTTGGGTAACTCTAGAGCTCCAGAGAAGTCTGGTGAGAGCCTTGTCCATGCAAAATAGATTTTGCTGAGGCATCGCTATTTCAGAAGTGAGAAACAACCACCACCCATAAAACCAAGGACAAAACCCCCCGAACATTATCTGTCTCTATATAAATATATCTATAGATATATAAGAGCCACCTAAATGGAAAATGGATATAGATCACTTGACGGAGCAAGAGTTCCAGGAGGTAACCATCCCTGTGAATTAGAAATGTGGGTGAATACTTTTTTCACTTTGGGGTGAATTTAGGCATTTAGGAAGCCTTGGTAGTGAGGATGCACTACTGAATGCTACATCGGATTAATAAGTGATGTTTGAGAAGTGTAAACGGCTGGGCCTGAGTCACTGCTTGGCAGAGTCCCCACTGAAGAACAGACCCAAAGGCTACTACAGAAGTTGGTTCAACTCTGCAAAGCGATCTATAGCTGACATGGAACAGTAGCTTAAATTACAGTTAAGGAGTTGATGCACTGAAGGGGGGGGCTTATGGAGTCAGTCATAGGAAATAAATAAGTTATTGTTCTTGCAGGAAACTGGAATTTGGCAATGAAGCTGGAAAAGACAGCAGAGCTACACAAAGAGGAAGAGCAAGGAGCCCAAGAGACCACTGGCTTATTTGCTGCTGCAGCTACTTTTCTGAATGACTTCCCACCATGTCTGGTTGAAGCATTAGTCTTGTAGACCTAGTTGAGATCACTCAAGGCAGTCTATTTAGAGAGCAAACAAGCCTTTGGCAGCAGAGGTCAAGGGGGAAGCGCCTTCTTACTTTCTCCTCCTCTTCCTTCTCTCTCTCTCTTTTTATTTTCTTCTTTTGGTCCAGGTTGGCTCTCGCACAGACAAGCGACTAGAGATAGCAAAAGGGAGGATCTGCATGGAAGTCTGACCAGGGGAGACTCCAAGGAACATGGCTAGTGAGGAAAGCCATCATTGTGACCTACAAAATATGCACAATGTTTGTCTTCTTGCCTGAAGAGGACCCAAGCTATAACCGCTGCAACTGCAAACTTGTCTCCTTCTTGGAAGAAAGTGAAGGGACTTGAGGAGAGAGCTCCTATTCTGAAACGCACCAGGGAAGATGAGCGGCTCCTGGATCACAGTAAAGAGTGAAGGGAAGGGAATCCCAAGGAACAGGAGAAAAATATTTGGCAGAGGCAAACATGTGGAAGAATATAAGCCAAAGAAGCAAGAAGATCCAGAAATGGCCTCATGCTCTCTCTCTAGTGGATGATACATAGCTATATAAGTAATTCATGCCATAGTATGCTGCAGGAGACACTTGGGCCCCATGGATCGAAGAAACCCAAGAGATACCCAGAGGCATGGCTTGGTGGAGAGTGATTCCCTGCTAAGTGGAAATGAGGCGGCTGTAATCAAACCCCATATGATGTCACAGGAGGCGTGTTGTCTTCCAGGTGCCCATAAACAGGACAGGATACAGAGATTGCTAAGATGATTGAAACTCATTAACAACTATTCTTCCTCTTGGGCCATGTGAGGACAAATGGCAGCTGAAGAGACTTTGAAAGAATTTGTGGAGACTACGAGGGCTTGGGCATGGAGGTGAAGAAACTGAGAGCATGGGTGTACTTTTCTCAATTGGGTCATGACAAAAAAAGAGAAAATAGGATTTTGGAGGTCAAGAAGTGGCTATGCCAATGGAGTCACCAAGACAGGTTTGGATTCTGCAACAGTATCTTATGCTATCTTCATGAAGGACTCCTGTGAAGAAATGGGATACTTCTTCAAAATCTGTCAAGGAAGTGTTTGGCAGGCACTTACCAATCTCATCAGAAGGGTGTTAAATTAGAACAAACGGGAGAGGGGACAAAGTCTAGCACTGAATGTGAAGCCAAGAACTGCAGCCATGAAAGCAAAATCCAAAGGGAAATGCAAGAAGCCACAATGGGGACTCAGAATTTCATAGAATATTGTAATAGAGATGCCAATAGGCATATTGAAAACCTAAAGAAAATATGTATTTGCACAAAAATTCAGGAATCAGAGCATGGAAGTACTGTTGAAAGAATTTTGTGAAGAGCAGAAGGAGAAAACAGAAGTGGTCCCAAATGTATTACAGACCACGTGGGCAGGTAGAAGATACAGATAAGGTCTTTCTGCATCAGGTGACCAGTCTTGGATTTCAGATACACTGACATCTGCCGGGAATCTAACTGCCAACAGAGACCTAACAAATTCTGGTTTTCTCTTGCTAACGACATCATTTATCAGAAGATGAAAGACAGAACAAAGGGGTCTGCTACCCTGGACCTAGCCCCAGCACACCTTGTCAGCCCTCCTGCGGCAGCTCATCTCTTCTCCAGCCATGACTTACAGCCTTCTGAGCCACATTCTGCACTCCAAAGCCCTCTGACTTTGAACCTGAGATGATGTCTTATCTAAGGATTAGGTGATCTAATTCCCTATCTTCCCCTTTCTTACTTATTATTAGTGCCTCGTAAAAATGTCACTACTGGATTGTGGAAATATTTGCTGTCATGTGCTGTGCCTATTCCCTTTGTTAACCCCTTGGAAAGATTTCCTTTAAAGTAATGACACTGCTAAATAGTTTATGAAATTGGAATTGGGGCCATTGTTTGTCCGAAAATTCCAAAACATGAAACACTTAAATGAAAACAAAGAAAAACAGTTCAGGTGGGAGCCTTACAAGCACATGCAAACAAGAGTGTAGACAGGGCCAGGGCCAGGGCCAGGGCCAGGGCCAGGGCCAGGGCCAGGGCCAGGGCCAGGGCAGGCCCTTCCTCCCATTGGAACAAGTAGGAGGAGGGTTTCTTCTCCTGCAGGAAAACCCTGGCTTTCCTCTCTAGATTCATCAGTCCCCCCAGGGCCAGGTTCTCTAGGAATGCCTATGCAGGCTGGCAATGCATGCGAGAAGATTCATTATTGTTTATTAGGTTTGATTTTGTACACAGCCTAGATTCCCTTGAGATTAAGGGGGCAATAAATGGCAAAATAAATAAATAAATAAATAAATAAATAAATAAATAAATAACAATCCACTTCTGCATGATCATCATCACCAGAGAGAAACTTTGCCGTTAATCCCTCTAGGTCCTTTTCTAACTGTGAAATTAGGATATAAATAAGAATAAAAATAGAACACAGTACACGTATATTAAGCTTGTATCATAACTTGGACACATATATAGCTGCAATATGCTAACCCTAACAACCCTAACACAACAGGAAATTCTAAATTAAATTAGGAAAACTCAAGCAAAAAGAAGAGAACCTACTTGTGTAGTCACTGAGAGTGTAGAGGACCGTGATAAGATTATCCAAACAAGGCCAATGATCTGGATTACAGGCAAGCCCCTCCTCAAAAGCGTGCCGCGCCAGGGGCAGGCGAGTAAGCCGCAGTGCCACGTGACCAATTTTATACCACAGGTTGACATCAGTGGAGTCGAGCAGCACAGCCTGGGAAACGCAACAGACGATGCTCTTCATGTAAATTGTGCCAACAGAACCCAGAGGTTGCACCACTTCTTGGGTCCCCAAGGCTATAGTAAACAGATGCCAAAGGCCCCAGAGCAACCCAGGGCTGCTTGCAGACAACATGTCATGGCAAAGGGTTCATTTTTGGTTTTGCACTGACCCCCTCTAACCTTTCCAGAAAGAAACTGAAAATTGTCACCCCACCCACCCCAGGGGCATCACACGTCTTCTGCAGCCCTTGGAGCCCACCACCAAGAAGGAATATTTCAAAGTGCAGCACCAGAGAAAACTCTCAGAAGATGTCAGTGTTTGCTAAATGCTAACATTGAGAATGTAATTTGCTGAGATATTTACTCAACAATAATAAACATATGGAACAAAAATTACTTTGATATAAAAACCTCACACAAATAGAAAAGATTTCTGTATTTAAAAGCAACATTAGCATAACGTCTACACCTGAGGGAAACATAGTAGGCAATAAAAGGGGCAGCCACAGCAGGTCTTGCGACGTGGGGCAATGGGTCCTGTAAGGCTAAAGATCACCCCAAGTCTTCTGCTCGAGCATCAGCCTGTGTGAAATGGAAACGTCTGCCGGGGGAGCGGGGGAAGGGAGGAAGACCCTACCTCCAGATAGAACTCCATAGCTGTCTCAATGTCATCTCGCTGTGCAGCCAGCTGGGCCAAGTTTTTGTAAGTTGAATATTTCAGCATCAAACCAGGATGCTTTAATCCCTCCCTCTCATCCCCAGATGGAACTGCCTGAAAATCAGAAGGAAGTGGAGGTAAATGGCTTGTCTGTAATCAATGATCACCAGATGATAATGCCTCATTTGTGGCTGCCTGAACCTGAAAGATAAAGCAAGCACTGCTGTCAACTGTGGCCATTACTAAGGTAGTGAGGACTCCCCTTTAAAAGCCCCCAAAGGTTCTAAGTTCTGCAAGGAACTTGCAATAGAAACACCTCATCCAACCACCTGCAGCCCTTGAAAGGTAAGAACCCCCTTCCTTGTTCAGATGTTGGGGCAAAGATTAGGAGGAGGACATATTGCAGTCCAACCCCACTGAATGTTGGAAAGAAATTACACCATGGGGCTTGAGATAGTTGGACTACTCACCGGTCCTGCTATCCTGTGGATGGGCCAGTTCTTGCTGGGGGCTGCAGAGAAAAACAACTCCAAATTCCCCCAGCGCACCCCTCTGGAACAAGCAGCTGATTGCACCACTCTGAGCCCCCCTCCTGCTCACGTAACCCAGCAGAGACTGTAAGCAACTTTGCCACCCCCCTGGCACTTCCCAGTGAGAGCACCACACATAAACATACAGCCCCTTTGGGTAAGAAGGTCAGAAAGACTTCCCGAAGCCATGCAGAGCTTGTGTTAAAAAATCGACAGCAGGTTCAAGATTGGCCTACACGGAAAAATAATCTGAAAGGCAACTTTCTTTGGTCTTCCTATGGGATCAATCCCTGAAGTGGTTTTAGCATGAAGATTCGTTCAGAACCAAATCCCCTTCTCCCTCCAAACAAAAGTTTATAGGAGTAAAGCATCACAAGTGTCATATGATAAGCCTTCAAAATCAGGGCTGAAGGCCCTCTGCGGGTAAAAAGCTGCACTCGCCATTGAGGAACTCTGCAGAGGCCCTACCACTGTAGAACCATTCTGGTGGATGGAGGAACTTTGGTCATCCATTCAGGTGCCCTTGCATGAATGGACTGTGCTAGGGGAGGACATCCCCAGGCTATTTAATCTCATCCTCCACCTTCTTTCTGGCTGGGACTACAAAGGGCCTCACAGTCACTTGGAAAGCCAATGAGTTTAACGGCAGTACTGATGTACAGATTAGTTCCTATCTATCCCTTTTATGAATGTCATAGCTAAGTAGCCTCTGAAAGGTGTCCCTTATGTGGGTCATTAGCTTCCTCTTTTCACAGATCATCAATGGTCATAAAGAGATTCTGATCCACCTGAGATTCCAACCCACTAAGATTCTCTATGACATCAGAGCCAAAGACTCCTGCAGCTTCCACCAATCAAGGGCCCCCGTGCAGCATACAAGGGAAAATAGACCCAGAAGCCACCCCGCATCAAGCAGAAGCAAGAAGGACTTCCATTCACTGACTTCTCGCAAGAGACGAGTCTCAAGCAGTTCATGGTAAGCCTTGGCAGAGTCTTCAAAGAGGTCATGCTTCTGAAGGTCCAGCGCTCTGTGGTACAAGGCAAAGGCTTCTGCTTCCTAGAAAGAGAGAGAGAGACACTGCATTTGATTAAACAACCCACTTCTGAAAAAGAGCAAGGCCACCTCAACTCCTAAAAGAAATCTTACGGAGATAATAATTTAAGTAGCTTTGCAAGGCACGCACACGCTCAGAACAACTGCTTCAAATGGTTTATACTCAGAATACACACACGCTTTTGCAAGTCTTGTTTGACCATGAAAAAAAATATGGCTGTTTTGAGTGGAATTGTTTCAGGGTTCCATGCTGCTTCAGATAATGTGACTGGGAATCTGGGTTGGGAACTGGGAACTGCTGTGTACCTTTTGACTTTTCTTCCGCAGACCTCCCCCCATGTTTAGCAAGATAGCAACAGTGCTTCCCCCCCCCCCCAAAATCACTCTATACAGATAACTTACTTTCTGTGTACGCTGGCTTTTTTTAGTTTTTTTTTACTTTGAGTACAGCTGATAAAGCAAAAAGGTATTTCCTACTGGTTGGCTTGCTAAGTTTCCAGTGTTTATCAGAGTACAATACTTCACTTCTGCCTTTTTCTTTATGGAATTTCAGAGCGTATTTAAAAATGCAATGCAAATTCTTTGTTGTCTGGCTTGCTAAGGAGGGTGGGTGCACATTATTCACGCTCTTTTGCACTACTGATTCAGTCCATTGTGCATGATACAGCAATGCATGTTTGAATTTGTCAGTTTGAGTTGTCTGCTGCAGTTCTGTCCTCTTAGTACTTTAGGTAAAAAGATTAGCTGCTTTGCTGAGCCAGAGGGTGTGCGTAATTTATGATTACTATTTTTTTCTGTGTGCTACTGAGGATGTATATGCTGCCAGCCAGGGAAAAAGGTTTTGTATTTAAATACTAGAGAGGAAGGAAGGAGACAGCTCATCTTCCCCGCTGCCTTCAATGTTAGGTTTAGAGGACCTACACAACTTTCTGTAAAGCATTTTTAAAGAAACCACATTTGTGTTTTTGGAGGGACTGAAATGTATTGTCTGCTATGCTGGCCTTCCTAGAGGAGGTAATTAATTTAAAAGGAGCGTTTGCAAGACTTAGGTTTCTGTGTTCCTTCTGAAAGAAAAAAAGATTCAGTCAGCTCACATCTTTAGCATATCCATAGGGCAAAGGAAGAAGGATATATCTGCATTCAAAGATTTTTCTACATCTGGACTTGCTAAGTGGGATGAACTGCTACCCTATCTATCATTGGGATCCTGGGGTGAACAGGGGAGAACAAGAGGCTTTTCCCACATACCACTGTTTCCTTATGGCTGCCACATTAAAATGTGCAATATTTAAAATATGCAGCTCTGTTTTTGGCAGAACACGGAATCCTTGAAGTGCTTTGGATGTTGTTCTACTGCATACAACCAACAGATTGTAATAGAATATTCCAGGTAGGACATTTTGTTTTGAGGCTGAAACATAACCCATTTTCTGTTTTGTGCATAACTCTTATTTTCACTATTAACCACCAATCTGTTGTACTAACTGTTAATTTGGCCAAAAACCCCAGCTTCAGGATATTGGTGTGAAAGATACATTTGTTGGCTATCAATATACTCAGGAAGGCAACAGACGTAGAGTGACCATCCTTTTTAATAAAGCAATACTGATTAATAATATGCAAACCTATTGTGCTTTATGCAGGATAAATTTTAAATTCTCCAGCTCCAGATAGTAAAAGATAGAAGATGTACAGACAAGATACACTGAGGAGACTCTTCTGGTCAGGGTCCTCAGCTCAAAGGCAACAAACCAGATCCAAGATTTGAACCTGAGTTATATACTTTCTTCAGTATCAGGATCTCAGCTTAGAACTTGAAAAACCTAAATATGTTTTTTCAGGCATAGCAAAAAAATGGCACAATAGCAACTCACAAACCATTCAGAGAGAGGACACCATAAAACTGTGGAAGTTAGATGGGATGATTTACCAGTTAAGTGCCACAAAGGAGAAGTAAAAGCATGCAGCTAGAATCTGGGACAAAAATATACACGTATGAAAAACGACAGGAAAAAAACTAAAATGAGATGAAGGAGAGAGAAGTGAAAGTACACGTCTGCACCCAGGATGCTTAGTGTCAGTAACAATCTGTGAATGAAAGGCAGAAGGTCGAAGAATGGACCAGCAAGAATCCAAATTAAAGCATGGCGGAGAGAGAGAGCTCCCGCATGAACTCATGCAATGAACCGGAGCCCAGCAGCAATCTGGCTAATCGATTCCACCATCAATCTGTTCTTGCCATCAAGAAGTGCTTTTTAGCATTCAGTAAAAATCTAATTTCAACGCTACCCCTTTGATTTGTTTTTTACAGTTGCCTGATGGAACACAATTTTTGTGTGTGGAGAAGAGTAAATCAAAATGGGAGTTGAACACCTGTCTCCTTTGTTACTTACCTTTTTACCATCTCTGCTGTGCAGCTGCTAGACTGACTGCTTCCCTTTTTCTTTTGAAGTTCTTATCATGCCTTGGCAATCTCATCTTAAGGTTCTTCACCTACTTCCTCAACTTTAATAAGCATATTCATTAACTCATTCTAGTTTTTCACTATTTACGTTTCCCTTGCAATTGTTTACTCCATGTTTTTCTTCAAACATTAATATCCAAATCCATACGGCTTGTTGCATCGTACAATCAAGACCACACAGCATGCATTGAAATCACCAACCAACACTCCCCTAGGGTCACCACAAACATTCCTTTTATGAATGGGTACTTTTAACAAACAGCATAACTCCTCCCTTTTTATTATTTATTATTTGTCTGTTTGTCAAATTTGTCACAAATTTCAAGCACCGCTGTAGGTCATTAATAAAACAAACCCATATCATATGAATACGTCACCTCTCATTCATTTTACGCTTCCAACATAATGAAATTAATAACAGGCACCTTTAAAACCATCTCTAGGGAGTCCAATGAACACGCTCAGAGAGTTCTCTTAGCCAAGGGGGAAGAGCAGATGACTGTCTCATCCTATCATGTCTGTCACCAGGCCAAAGCTGTCTGGGTTAAACGAGCCAGTTTATTTTGGCTGTTACCCTCCCCTCTCGAACCCTGGGACATGTTCTCTTTGGATCTTTTTATTGATCTTCCACCATGATCATTTTCACAATAGTGCATTTGTTTACCAATATTTTTCCTTGCAAGGGCCTCCCATTGACTTAGGAGACCACACAACTTTCTGGACCATGTTTTTAGGTACAGGGACTTTGTAAAACATGTGGTCTTGGAAGTAAATGGAGAACCATGTTTTGGAAGACACTCTTCCAGTTACCCCCACCTAGCCTCTAACAGGTAATCAGAGAAGGTGAATCAATTACCAGAGCAATACTTGAGGTCCATAAAAGCAGCTCCTGGCTGACCTCACTTGGAAGCACGGGGAAAATATATCTATTTTATAGGCAGCAATCACTCAAACATTACTGCAACATCGCTGCCGTTTGTCAGGCTCACAGGCAAGAGCTCAGCAGAAATTCCCAGGCGTTCAGCTAGCATGACTCGCTTGGGCTCTCAGACGCACCACACAGCAAGGCTAGGGAAGGGTCTCTGCCGCGCATTAAAGGCGTCCACGAAAACCAGGCGGTTCGCGACCCAGGCAGAGGCGCGCAGCACTTCCACCTGACGTCCACCGCGTTTAGTTCCGCTGTTCTTTCTCCGGGGTCGCCGCCTTTCGGCCCTGCGCTTACCAGCCTAGAAACTGGG